TTTTGTAGCTTTTTTTTCCTTGCATTCTTGGTTCGATTATTTCCCATTTTCGGTTTACTCATTTATTTATTTACTTGCTTCATGATAGCGATTTGTTTTATGCATTTGATAGCCATTTGTCAAATTCGAACACTTTTTGATAGAATTCTAAAATTCTAAAAAGCTGAACTGGGAAAATGCCACAAAATAGCGGATTAAATCAAGAATATAAAGAAAATAAAGTTCTCTGTAGATCATGAGAGGTTGATGTTGGAGACTGGATCATGAGAGGTTGATGTTGGAGACTGGATCATGAGAGGTTGATGTTGGAGCTGGTCATGAGGTTGATGTTGGAGACTGGATCATGAGGTGATGTTGGGCTGTCATGGGGTTGTGTTGGGACTGGTCATGAGAGGTTGATGTTGAGACTGATCATGAGAGGTTGTGTTGGAGACTGGTCATGAGAGGTTGATGTTGGAGACTGGTCTGAGGGTTGTGTTGGGACTGCTGGGGTTGATGTTGGAGACTGGATCATGAGAGGTTGATGTTGGAGACTGGATCATGAGAGGTTGATGTTGGAGACTGGATCATGAGAGGTTGATGTTGGAGACTGGATCATGAGAGGTTGATGTTGGAGACTGGATCATGAGAAGTCAAAAGAAGTGAGAAGTGACATTCGATAACTCGTAGTTTTTCAGTTCATATAGTTGATGCTGACAGAGCGACGTTTCCTCGGTACAAGAACAACAAAAAGTTTTTCTGCAAGGGGAAATGCCACAAATTGACGGGTTAAACCAAGAATATAAAGAAAATAAAGTCCTCTGTAGATCATGAGAGGTTCATGTTGGTTCTTTGATTCATTCATTCATTGACGATTCACGAAAATTGATTCTTTTTAATGTTTTTTAAAGAAATTTAAGCAATTAATTTGCTTTCTAATTAAGAGAAATCTCTTTTTTTCTTCTTTCTTTCTCTAATTAAGAGAAAGAGAAAGAAAGAAATCTTTTTCTCTTTACAAAATTCATTCTTGTGTTTTTTTGATTCATAAAGCTTTTTTTTCTTTACGTTTTTCGCTTAGTTATTTGTCGCTTCGGTTATTTGCCACTTGTTCACTTGTGTACAAAAAAGGCTTTCCTTTGGTTAGTGTGCCTGCGCTCGGAACTCTTTGATCTTGATCCGCTAGCAGTAAAACTTTTTGCTTTTTTTGAAAAACATTAAAAAACCGCTTTGATTATTAGAAATTTGTATAATGTAATGTAATATAATGTATAATGTATAATGCTAGACCGAACCGAATCCGAACCAAGATCAAAGAGTTCCGAGCGCAGGCACGCTAACCAAAGGAAAGCCTTTAATTAAATATAATGATTGACAAGACGAGCTGGGTGTACAGGACTCGTTGAACCATTGGATGTTTACTTCTTTCAACCATTTAAAGGCGTATAGGAAAAATTCACGATCACATTCGAGCCAACAAACCGGATTTCAAGATCAGCAAGGGAGACAATATCATTAAAGTTCTTTCGGTTGTGTGTGAGTCGGTTTAAAGCTCCAGTATTTTTCAAGCTTCGTCAATATTCATGGTTCCGAGCAGGATACATCCATTTTTTTGTTTCATAAAGCTTTTTTTCTTTACATTTTTCGCTTAGTTATTTGTCGTTTCGGTTATTTACCACTTGTTCACTTCTTTTGTGCAAATTCTAACACTTTTTTTTATACGAAACTTAAAGCAATATAAAAATTAGATAAATATTTCAAATGAAGATAGTTTTGTCTTTTAAATTGTGAGAACATAAACGAATTGTATCAAAAAAAAATCAGAAAGATCATTTTGTAATTTTTTTCTATGATTCGATGTCCTTTCCCGCAGCTTCGTCGCAGAGTTCCTTCAATTTGGTGCCATAAGTGCGCAAGTGAGGGATATATTCCTCGGAGATTTCCTCAAATCGATTCCCAAACACCTGACAGTCTGGCCATTCTCCTCTCTTCTCGACGACCAAATTCTCGAAGAGCTGAATCGAAGTGTCGACTTCTTGCTGAAGAATGGGAACCGCTTTCGAGTAGGCGTTGATCTGATAGGCGATGGCTATTCCATCTAATCGTGTGAACTCGTGTTCTCTATGTTCCATCAGAAAACACATGGCACACAGCGTCATCTGGCACTCCTCGCAGTGGACGCTTTTGTTTGATCGATGTTCTACGTCGCATTTCTCGCATTTCTCCTTCTGTTGGGGATTTTTTAGAACGGAATCGAGCTCGTTGAGGAAAGCTATAAGGATCCTGTTCTTTCGATTCTGATCCCTGTTGGTTGGTGTTACGCAGTTTCCACACCGAACTTGTGTCTCGTTGATGAGCAGTTTTCCCGAGCAACCCTGACACACCGTGTGTCCGCATGGGAGATCGATGGGTTCTCGAGCTGAAGGAGATGCCGAGAAAGGCACTGCACAAATCGGACATTGAATTTGAGGAAACGGCTTCTCGATTACGTAACCGCTGCAATCAGAGCTCATTTTCACGAGTCCATCCACGACGAGCTTCACCCAAATTGAGTAGGGACTTAGCGGGACCGAGGCACAAGCCGTCTCACCACATACATGCATTCGTTGGCGTCGCTTTGGATCACTGGCAACGCATCGACCACAGAGAAACGCTGACACACATTTCATTTGGTAGACCCCTTGAAGTTCTCCGTTTGCGCCCAATTTACAATTGCCAAGTGCCGGCTGTGCACAACTCCAACATTTGAACGAGTCGAACGAGTGCACTCGAATTGATTTCACCTCTTTATCAGCCTCCACATCGTTGAGAAGCTCAAACAGGATTTGATCTCGTCGACAATCCCACTTGTTGCTAGCGGTGTTGCAACCCGGGCACAGCACTTGTTGAGGGTTTTGGGGATGAAGTCGCTCCAAGCATCCCCTGCAAATTGTGTGTCCACACTTTGTCAAAACAACTGGATGCCGTTTTGGGATCGCGGCCGAGAAGCCCTCGTCACAAGTCGGGCATTTTGGCGTTGTGAACGCTTTTGCGAGAATGTACCCATTCTTGTCAGGACTCAGCCTCACCGTGTCACTGAATAAAATGCGCAACCAGATCGCATTGACATTCGGCGAAGCAACGGTGCAGTCTTTTTCGATACACAAATGCATTCGTTTCCGATCGCGCGAGCTCAGCGCATGGCACGGAGTACAGATGAATGTGGAGCAGCTCGTTTGGTGAAATCCCTGAATTTAGAAATGTTTATCGTTTTTAAAAAAATATTGGCAATTAACCAGTTTCAAAAATAAAGTGTATTTTCCATTTAAGCTAATGGGTATTGATGAGTTACTATTTTTTCCGTAAACAATTATAAAGCAAAAAACGGACCAGCTTGGAGCGACTTTATAGGCTGAAGGGCTTTGAAAATATAGAAAATATTGTGCCTGTCTTATCTGTATTAAATCAGAGTCAGTATATTGACGTAAATCTTTAAAGAGACGTGGACAATCCAGTGGACGGGATTGTCTGATTTAAATGTCTCACCGCCACGAGCTGAGATCGATTCACTCAGAGCTTGCACAAGGGCCGATAAGGGTTAGTGTGCCGGGCTTTCGATCGGCATCGATCTGGTTCGATTCCCCTTGGTGAAAACTCTTTATTGTTAATAGCCCTACTTCTCTATTTAGCGATTGGCCCTCCCCTCTCCACACACCTGAACTTTCCCGTCAGCGCCCATCTCTCCAGTTACTGTTTCCCTGCAGTTCCAACACTTTAACGACTCAAACACCCTCACATTATTCGTGTCGTTCTCTTTGCTCATCTGAATTTGTACGGCTTAACATCTTTTGAAGCTTTCAGAGCTTTTGAAGCGATTTTCAAAACGGCTGAGAGCAATAAAATCTTATCTTATTTTAAGGAAACGAAAAGAACATGGCTAACATAAAAATTATTATTTCTTGGCAGTCCTACAATTTAGAAAATCTTAGGAGAACGGACAGTCACAAAAGGGGGCAGCTAAGGAGTCAGAGTACTTGGCAAGGAATAGGTGCATCAATGAGTCAAAGAAGGCGAGTGGTTATCAGGCAAGAAAAATCAATCGATTATCGGTGGGGAAAAGGTGAGAAACCTGTAGGAAAAAGCTCTCAACAAAGAGAAAACTCCTAGCAGAATATTGGTAGGAAAATTGAGTGCTCACCTATTTTGCCCCATTTTCTAACAAGGGGAATGATCAGAAGTGACCGTGACATTTCGGCACCAAAATGCAGTGCAAACACAAGTCGAATACGATGATCACGATGGTGCTTTCGGATTTTGTTAAGAAGCTCTAGTTTTCGAGAAAAACGCATTGCAAGCTTCGGCATCTACTCGGGAAACCGGCGCGCCAGGTTAAGTGGCTTCCCTTGCTCTCCCTTGCCAGCACCCCGATAGTGTAGTGGATAGTAGGTATAGGAAATCAGGTCGGATTGGGTCGGGTCGGGTCAAAAGTTGACCCGACAAACAGCAACAACAGCTGACAACAAATCCTTTGATAATGTTGAAAATCGTGGAAAACTCTGGTAAACGAGCAAAAGTTTGTTGATCTTGGCTGTTCATTTGAAAAAAAGTAATCTATTTGTTTGAAAAGAGGAAAAGAATCGAGGGAACCAGTTTTCTAAACACAAAAGCGAAAATCAAACAGCAACAACAGCTGATTGTGAGCACATTTTCGATGGGGAATTGTTTTTCTGGTCATTATTTGATAAAGTTAACAGGGAAAAGATAGTAAACAATCTTTGGCCATTCGTTTTCTCTTTGCTGAATAGCATGTAATTGGTGAAGTGAATGCGCTTACCGAAAAAAAAGGCTCTTGTGCTATACAGAGCCTGAGCCTAAGCCTGCAAGCTAGCAAGCAAGCTGGCAAGCAAGCCAGCTAAAACGCGTAATGCTTATGGAGAGTTTGAGCATTAACTATTGGTTTTTTGGATCTCGCTAAATATAATATTTAAATCAATTATTTATTTGAGATAAAATACATAAATATACACAAAAATGAAAGCTGTTTAATGATTCGATTTCTCGTTGAAATTGTTGGGGATTTCTTTAAGGAAATGATCGAGCTCTTGTTCGGCCACGGGGATTGGATCTCTGTAAATTGCATCATATGTTCATTGTAACAAGTTAATTTAGAACTGTGACTTACAGATAGATGATTGATTACTTGAGGGAGTCGAACCCTGGACTCTTAGACCTCTGAACAAACACTTTTCGATTGAGCCATCTGAGACTGATATCTCTAAATTGCTAGAGAATAGCTATTAGAGGATGAATCAACCCTGTGACTTCCAGATCGGTAATTGATCACTTGAGGGAGTCGAACCCTGCTCTGAGCAAGCACTTTTCGATTGAGCTATTCAACTCCTATCTCTAAATTGCTAGAGAATGGCTACCATATCAGGAATCAGTTCTGTGACCTCCAGATCGCTGTTTTATCACTCGAATCCACTACTGGCATGGCTAGTTTCAGCCTTGCAACTCACTTTCTTCCAGCCCATGTGAGATGTCTCGTATTCTTCATCTCTTTCTCTTTCAAAATGGTCGACATTGGAATAGCGATTGCGAACATCAAGATGAAACCGATGAGGGGATAGCCATGTGTGGAGAGTCTGAAATGAAAGTTACTTTATTTTTTGAAGAGCTTTCAGTCATTTCACAATGAGCATTTGAAATGCTAAGCTGGGAAAGGTTTATTTATTGACTATTTCTCTTTGTGCCACCCAGTTTGCCCAATGAACGAATTTTATTTGTTAATTAGTTCTTTGATAGCTTAATTCTATTGAATCCCTTTATGCCGATCTCAACGAAACAAAAAGTAAGCCGAGAAGTGGCTCGTTTACTGGCTAATTATTTCTTGTGACATCCAGAATGCCGAAGAGCCATTAAACTTTTGCAATGGAACCCGCTAGAACTGCAATAGAAGCTAGCCTGGAGCACATGACTGCCAGATAGTAGGTGGGTTGTTTAAACGACTGCTGAATGATGCTAAACCGACCGACCCTGTGACTACGACGACTTTCTGACCGACCGATCGACCGACCGACCGAAATGACACCCACCGACTGATCCATAAAGTTCCCGGTTGTCCATAGTGTGCATCGTAGTCAGGCTGTTGGCGAATTGTAAAATTATGCGGATTTTTCACCAAACCACTGCATCCAATGACACTGAATCGACTTTTTGTAAGAATTTAAACTATTTGAATTACCTGGTATTCGTTGAGAGGAAAAGATTTTTGTAGGGATCTTCGTAATAGTTGACAATGCAAATGATGGCCATCACTGAACTTATGAAAGTGACAGGGTTGAGTCCTACTGTATTATGCTATTCTCTGGCTAGATTGACATCTCTGGCTTTCTAACTGGAGGTCACGCGTTAATTTCATCGATTTCTCTTTCTAGGGTTTTTGATATTTTTAGTCTAGTTGAACAAGATCTAGATTTAGTCTAGATTTAGGTAAGCTTTTTGTAGCTGTAGGTTAAAAGTTTTTATAGCTGAAGATCACTGAGATTCTAGCTGGAGGTCACATGTTTGATTGCTGATAAGCTGGCAGTTCTAAGTTTTAGATCTCAGTTTTGGATGGCTCAAATCGGCAGTGTTGGTTTAAAAAGCTAAACGTTGAGAGTTTGACCCCAATCGGTGACTAACCAGCTTTACTGGAGGTCACAGTGTTTGATTTCTTTAATGTTAGAGTTTCTATAGCAAACTGCAATATTGAGATCTAAATATTCTCAGGGTTAAGCTCGGTGAAGAAATTGATGAGAGCTTGACCCTGAGATTACAGACTGATCTAAAAAAAAGATGTAGTAAGATCCCCAAGTTTGCTAGCTTGGCTTTACCTTTAGCATGATAGTTTGCTAGCTGAATGCAAGACTGCCAATTGCAAGCAAGACTGCCAATTGAAAGCAAGACTGCCAATTACAAGCAAGACTGCCAATTGACTTACATATGTTCGAGACGATAAACGAGATCACACAAGAGATCACTCCCGATCTGGGGAAAAAGATGGCGATGCAAAAAATGGCGACCATTGGACCCGACATGGCACCCATCACCGACATGCAAACCTATAGAAAAATGAGCTTGAACAGATAGATTGGCAAACAGCCAATCTAGCTAAAGATCGATTGGCTTTTGTTATTACAATCGAATATCTAGCTTTCTTTCAAAAATCTACAACTTACTACAAGCTATAGCTACAAGCTACAACTTACTTAAGTTGTAGATTACATTTGGACATTACAAAGTTTTAGATTCTAGCTTTTCCTTAAAGCTCTAGCTTGTAGCAAGTTGTAGTTTGTTGAAAGAAAACTAGATAAAGCTAGAATCTAAAACTTTGTAATGTCCAAATGTAAGCTGGAGTAATGAGCAATGAGCTGGAGTAAATAAAAACTGACTCGTAAAATGCCACCCAATGATTCGGAGGTGAATGCGAGAGCTGTAGCGATGAGGCCACACAAGACAACAATTAACTTGAAAAATAAATTATTTAAAGAGAAAGGAGCAAACACTGTGACGAATAAAATGTCATTGGCCTATCATTGGCCTCTATCATTGGCCTCTATCATTGACCTCTGTCATTGACCTCTGTCGTTGACCTCTGTCATTGACCTCTGTCACTGTCAAAAACTGAGAGAAGAGTGTATTTTTTGATCAATTTTGATGTATTGATTGTCTCTTTCCCTTGACTCATTGTTCACCTTATTTATCCGTGCCGCTTGTGTGTCGGTGATCTTTCCATCTAACCGTTTCTTGAGAAAATCCTCGTAGATAGCTGCTGCCATTGAGTTCATTCCTGATGAGAGAGTGGACAGCGTGGCCGACATGATACAAGACACGTAGAGACCGAAGAGACCCGGGGTTGGCTCTAAAAACAGTGCTAATTGAATATCGCTGACCAATCACCTATCTGGAAGTCACAGGGTTGATTCATCTTCAAATAGCTATTCTATTGCAATTTAGAGATATCATTCTCAGATGGCTCAATCGAAAAGTGTTTGCCCAGACGTCTAAGAGTCGAGGGTTCGACTCCCTCAAGTGATTAATCATCTATCTGGAAGTCACAGGGTTGATTCATCTTCTAAAAGCTATGTTCTAGCAATTTAGAGATATCAGTCTCGGATGGCTCAATCGAAAACTGTCTGCTCAGAGGTCTAAGAGTCGAGGGTTCGACTCCCTCAAGTGATCAATCACCGATCTGGAAGTCACAGTTCTAAATTAACTTGTTACAATGATCATATGATGCAATTTTCAGAGATCCTGATAATTCAGTGTCTTAAAGAAAAACCCTTCATCTGTTTTAGATGGTCAAATGGAAGATGGGCCTTTGATGTAACCGATCATCTAACTCGAGTTCACAGGCTCGATTTTCAATGTTAATTTTTATATTACAAGATTGAGCTATCAGTCCGGATTATGGCTCAATCGGTAAAGGGTAACTTTGAGCTCTAAAGATCAAGGTTTTGACTCCCACTAGTGACCGCTCATCTATCTGGATGTCACTGACTGTTTGTCACTGACATCTATCTGGATGTCACTGACTGATTATTGTCATGAGTTAGTCAAACTTACGTAGAACGTCTCTGGCAAAGAGAATGGTGATGTGATCGGTCTCTAGAATTTGTCCCGTCTCCAATGGATTACAATTGTGGAAATAGGCCAACACCAACAACCCGACAAAGGAAACAATCGAGACGAGAATGACAAAGGGGAGCAGGGTGCAGAAGATGATTCCCTAAAGAGAAATAAATTACGCAAATGATTGATTTGATTTGACCCTACGCGAGCGTGTTGAACGGATGGAAGGCTGACGTATCGTTGCATGGCCAATTGATTCACCCCGAAAAACATGAGCCACCAGATTGTACCCGAGAAAATATTGATCCAAATTGAGCTGTACTGAAAATGAGTCAGTTGAGAGTGTTTAAACTGATCTGGTTTAAACTGATCTGGGTTTAAACTGAGCACTAGCTTACAAACAACTGCTAGCATGGCTCGCAAACAACTACTAGCCAACTGGACAACTGCTAGCCAACAGCAGCATAGCTAGCTGAAACCAACTTGTGCAATATCGGCATTCCATCGCCAAATCTCGCTAAGCCGACCGCTTTCCGAGGCGATTTGGAAAACTCTAAAGACAAACAAGTCAAATAAAGTGAAACATTTACTTTTTGTACTAGTGCTTTTTGTACTAGTGCTTTTTGTACTAGTGCTTTTTGTACTAGTTGAATGTCAAATTGAAGCCACTAGTTCCCAGATTCTTTCTTTAAAAAAGCCTATACCTATTCAATCCGCCGACCCGTGGATGCGCCAATCCCTTGTAGATCAGAGCCGCCACTCCACCGTACATGAAAACTGCCTAGGTTTTCTTTATTTTGTAAAAGCAAGCTGTAAAAGCTGTTTACTTGTAAAGAATCCGTCCAAACGACGGCTTTTAAGCCTCCAATACAAGTGTACAGAGTTGTACAAAGACCGAACATCTGAAATGATAGTTGAACTTTACTTTACTGCTAGTTGACAAATCAAACCAGCACTAGCGCCCATTTATTAACACCGAAAACAGCTGATAGAGCCACGGAGGGAGCGTAGATGACAATTGACATGTAAACAATGGTCATCGAAAGGAAAAGGGTAGAGAAGAGACGGCGAATGAGAACGGATCGATAGCTGAAAGAGATTGACGATTTAGTGATAGGCAAATGGTTGGGAGTTTAAATTCTACAAATGAAACTATCTAGTTGGAAGTCACATAGACGATTTCAACGATTTTAGAGATACTCTGATGAGTTTGAGACCTCGGCATTGAATGGCTCAAACGGTAGAGAGCTGGTCAGGAGATTTAAGGGTCAGGGTCGAGGGTTCAACTCCCAAACTGTGATCAATCAACTAGCTGGAGATCACAAGTGAAATTCATGCTAAATTTATTGGACTAACCGATGAATGAAATATTCGTGTAAACATGTGGTTTGCATCTTGTGAAAAATCGGTAGAAAAACGAAGGCGGTGATCAGAGAAGCAAAAACGCCAACGACAAGGTTCAACCAGATTTGTGGGCCTAAATCGAAAGAGATGATGTGGATAAAATCGAATCGATGTCACCAAGTATTCCCACGCTGTTTTTGACGCTGAAAAGGTCATGAATTCAGTCAATTCAGTTATCAAATATCTAGCTGGATGTCACAAGTTCAACTCCTTGAATTCTGGCCACCCTCTGACAAGTTTGAGATCTCAGCCTTAAAAGGCTTGATCGGTAGACGGTCTGTTTAAAGGCTCACGAGTTGAGGGTTCAACTCCCATCACTGAAATTCATCTAGCTGGAAGTCACTGGTTCGATTCCTGGTCCGATAGCTTTTCTTTGGCGAGTTTGAGATCTCAGCCTTGAATGGCTCGATCGGTAGAAGGTCTGTTTAAAGGCTCACGAGTTGAGGGTTCAACTCCCATCACTGAAATTCGTCCAGCTGGAAGTCACTGGTTCGCTTCCAGGCCTTAAGCTCCATACCTCTCTGAAACATCTCAGCCGGTATCGCCAACATGAGAATCCCGGAGAGAAATGTGGTGAGCAGGGAAAGGGCTACGGGCAAAGGCGTCATTTGACGTCCACCAATCAAATACTCATCTTTCGCCGACCGACCACCACGGTGAACAATGAGATGACTTCTGAATTGAAGGAATTTAATGAATAGATTAGATCATTCTATAGGACATAGTAAAGTCTTGTCTAAAGTGCTTTCTGCTGAAAGCTGCTCAACTTCTGAGTCTATCTCAACAATTCCAACTTAGTTGACTTACTTGATTGCATGATAGACACCGGTTCCAATCGACAGTAAAAGGGAGAAACCGAAAACACCATAATCTAACCAAGAGATCGTCTTTGTCTCCTCGAACGCCATTGAAGTTTCACCTATAAAACTGATACGGGTTTAGAAAAAGTGTTTCTAAAAAGAAAACATTGTGTGCCAACCAACTAGGCAAGTAAAAAAACTACAGCAAGACAAAACCATCTGCAACAAAACATCTACAAAAGGACATCTACTACAAGACATCTACAAGACATCTACAAGACATCTACAAGACATCTACAAGACATCTACAAGACATCTACAAGACATCTACAACAAGACAAAACATCTCTAAAGAGCTCAACTCATTAACACTTTTTCCCAAATTAACAATCTAAAAAAGCAATATGCTAAAACTGACATCCAACTAAAGAAGATCTTTGAAAATTTTGACAAAATTCTATTACAATAAAAATTAGCAAGAAGAAAATTAGCATTTTAGCAAGAAATCAAGATTGCGATAATTTATCTTTCCAAAAAGAAAACATTGTGTGCCATCCAACTAGGCAAGTTTTCTGATCAATAATGTTTTGACTTAAAGCAAAAGTGTGCTTATGATAATGATAAAATTAAATTTCTTATTACTAGACAATTAATGCTTGCTATAAAAATTAGTCTTTGAGGATAGCCACCAAAAAATCGGCGACTTAAAAATCGGCTGACTTAAATGGCTCACAGACAGACGTTTGAAACGTTTTATGATCAATGATGTTTACTGTTTCACCTTGAAATTCGAGAGAGAAAAGGGAAAAGAGAAAAAGACGAGTAGATCATCTTTTTTAAAGACGACTATGTCATCTTTCATTCTTTATCACAAAACATTCCCTATCCGCTGGTCTGATCTGGATAATGATAAAGACTAATCAGATCATCCACTTAGAATTTGGTCAACGATTCAACTTGTTCTAACGATAAACCGGCCAGTGACTTCCAGATAGATGATTGGTCACTTGTGGGAGTCGAACTTTTGGTCCACAGATCTCTGAGTGACACTTTACAGACTGAGCCATTCAAGAATGAAATCTCAAATTGTAATAGAATGATTATTAGAAGATGAATCGACTTTGTGACTTCCAGATAGATGATTGATCATTTGTGGGAGTCGGACTTTTGGCTCAGAGGTCTGTAGCCAGTCAATCTATCGACTGAGCTATCCAAGAATGAAGTCTCAAATTGTAATAGAATGGCTATTAGAAGATGATTCATCTTCTAATAGCCCTTGTGACTTCCAGATAGATGATTGGTCATTTGTGGGAGTCGAACTTTTGGTCCACAGATCTCTAGCCAGTCACTTTATCCATTGATCCATCCAAGAATGAAATCGCAAATTTCAATAGAATGATTATTAGAAGATGAATCGACTTTGTGACTTCCAGATAGATGATTGATCACTTGTGGGAGTCGGACTTTTGGCTCAGAGGTCTGTAGCCAGTCAATCTATCGACTGAGCTATCCAAGAATCAAATCTCAAATTTCAATAGAATGGTTATTAGCATGGTTATTAGAATGGTTATTATTATCGACCTTGTGACTTCCAGTAGAGGTTATCTATCAGCAGATTTACACAATTAAGCGATCCTTCAACTATTAGACCGTATTAAACCGATTGTGCCTTTAGAGGCTAATCTTTGAGGCACATGGTCGGCTGCCAGAGGTCGTGGGCACTCGACGGCTACACAATGAATCCAACGCAATAGATGGTATGAGTCCCTGTGACCCAGTATGGTTATCATCAACAGTATAATGGTCCTCATAGCCTGTTAGAGGCTAATCCACAAACAAGACTGGGATTTTTGACAAAAATAGCTAATTTGGTGAGTTGAGACGTGTCTTTTAATTGTTTTCAAGTGGTTACAAATCAAATATTTATTCATTTGATCAATTTGTGTCTTTTTTCACGGCAAGAACCGCTAAAGGGGATCGAACCGAGGAGGCCAATGACCAGAGTCGTCCCAAAGGTGAGGCAAGGCAAAGCAAGTCTGGACAAGGTAAGACCAGTCCAGGGCTGGCTGACAGGCTCAAACCCCTGAGCGTCATAGCTAGATCTGCCTGGTAAAGCTTTATTTCTTGGATCTGTCTGATTGACTGGGCCAGGTATTAGAGAAACGTTGATCTTAGCTGTTAGCTTACAAACTTTTTGCAAAAGTTGACTTTTAGTTTTGACTCTGATCTTCGTTACAATCAAAAATGTTTCCGTGCTTTTCTCCAAAACCAAAGTTTATGGTTGTTTTACTGAAAAGTGAGCTGCCCTCGTTTCAAAATTTTACTTTGTTGATCATGTGTCGTTTTGCTCAAAATTTTGCCCAATTTTACGACTTTTGCGGTCATTTTTTGGCTATTTCTTTATGGTTTTTTTCGGAATTTGATTGGGTTCTCCACTTTACAGCTGAGATTAGTTGCGTTTATGAATGTGAGTGGGTGAAGAGTTGTTGATATTTAAGGCTGAAAGGAAAAACTTTCAAAACTATAGCAAACTCGGGCATTCTCGTCTCGTCTTGCTAGTTCCGTATCTACGAAAATGGTTAGTTAAAAGAAAACTTTTCAGGACTTTTCAGCAGGACTTGGCCTGGCCCTGGCTAGTCCTGGTTTCGGTGTTGTTTGGCCTCACCTGGCTATACCTAGTCGGCATACAGACTCTGGGCACGGTGGAGTTAGCTCATGCCTCACCCTAGCCAGGGCCAAGTTCAGCGCCAAAAATATCACTCTTTAAAGCCATTCTAGGAGGTAACTGTGAGTTGAAGCTGAACTTACATATAGGACATAAGTAAGCCAATAAAAATAACCATAAACTTACCGTGCTCCAGTCGTACTCAATCCTCGTTGTCTCCGCTCTCTTCATGGTCTCTTATGGAACATTCACAAAACTTCCGACCAGCTATACTACTGCGATGAGAATATCAGCTTGTCAAGTAAACAATATAGATCTATTTGTCAAGGAAATGTCTAGGATTATTGCAAGGGTCAGTCGATTTCAACTACGACCGGTTTTAAATTCAAAGCAAAGGGATGGGAGCTGTGCAGTTGTCCGATTGCACAAGGATCTGGACAGTTTGTTTAAAGATTTCACAAATACTGTAATGTTTAGCTATTCAGCTATTCACTATTCAGCTATTCAACTAACTTTCAGATGGGTGGGCACTGGTTGTTACACTGAATGCTGGCAAAGGTGTCAAGCCGGATTGGGTAGCTGCGCGAATCCAAGTGGCGCGAACTACACTGGGTGAGTTGAATGGCTACAGTCTACCAAGAATAGCTTCTGTAATAGCTTGTGCAATACCTTCTGTAATACCTTCAGTAATACCTTCAACTTTACTTCAAATGTTTCAGTGTCTGTTGCTCGACAGCTGACAACAATGCGACAATCCAGTCTCAGTGCTACGACACCCCTAATGGAGCTTGCTACCAAAATGGATCCGGATAAAAAGCCGAGTATTCAGCAAGAAACTTCAGTTAACTCAGTGAATAAAAATTGCAATGAAACAAAGCATTTAGACAATTGCCTATTAGCTGAATTAGCTGCTAAAGTCAAATACAGGTTGCAGCAAAAGTTCAATCCTTTTTAGAACTCTAAAAGCTTCCTAGTTGATTTTATTTCATACATTTTTATAGCCAAAAAAATTTTTTCAGAGAATTGAAATCTT